AAACAGAAATCATAATTGTTCACACATAAAAAAAAAACTAAAACAACAAAATAACAATCAACAATCGTTTTGACCACTTAACAATCAAAACACACAATCTAAAATCTTCGAGTTCTTACTCATGTCCCCTCTCTCCCTCATCCACATTTTCTTCGTATTTATAGAGATTTAGGACGTGAATGGGTCGACCCAATTCGTTTTCTTGTCCAATTGTGGAACCTTTCTGCTGTTGGAATCCTTATCCAATACGGATACGGTGTGCATGCGGTCGACCTCTTACTAATGAGGTCGACCTGATAGGTGCACAAGGATCGGCCTATGAGGTATTTGGGTCGACCTTTCATTCTGTTATACCACCAAAGAGGTCGACCATTTTAAGTAGACGGTCGACCGCTTCTCTGAACCTCACATAATTGAATTTGTCAATTCGGTCGACAGCCTTGAGGATTAGGTCGACCGAAAAGTCCATGCATGTCACCGTAGCAAAATCCTAAGGGTTAATATTATTTTGTACCCCTTTACATTTGCAAAGTAACAAACGTATCTCTCTACTAATTTTTTGGACAAACGTAAATTTCTAACATTAAAACATAACGAAGATGCCCTTCTGTCTACTTAATCATTAATCGGGTGTTAAAAAGGCTGGGAAATGACCCAAATGCCCCTCACTTATCCATAATTCATTTTATTAAATTTTTATTTTAAAAAATAAACATAGCCAATCGGTCCCCTTTAATCGACCCACCCTTTGTTTGCCTCATCCCTCGACTTCGCTGAAGACTCTCCACTGATAGATTCTGGTGGACCATTGGTGGCGGTTGCACTGGCTCTTCCTCGCCGGCGGCTAGAGAAGCAACGACTTTCTCCCAACCAGCAGGGACGAAAACCACTCGGGGAGGGGTGGACGAAAACCATACACCAGTGACTGGTAGTGCAGCCCGTACCATCCTGGACCTCCATCAGAGATCGTGGACCCCACTGTTGGGATAGTAAACTCCCAGCCCGGACTAAGAATGAAACTCGAAAAAGCATTGCGCAAGCGAGACATCTCACTTGCCACAAACGACGGATCAGCCCGGGCCACTAGGACCACTGGAGCGGTCCCCTGGGGATACGTCTCTGCCAGCAGGCAGATGTGAATCCCCTGTGTATCGCTAACCTGTGTGGTATGGTGGATGTCCTCTAGAGTGGCAACATCAGCTCTCACGATCCTCCTGTTAGCTGCAGAAGCCTCCTCTCCTCCCTCTGCATCTCTCTCTTCAACCACCTTCTCGATCATTCCTTCGACAACCACCCCACTAGCCTCAACCGCAATCCCTGCTCGGCTGGTCACTTCTGCCTCCTCAACTTGATATGTCTCCCTCATATCACAAGCATAATCCATTGACTCCGTAGTAATCACTGGCGTATCACAAAAATATGCCTATCTCACTAACTATGATGATCTAAACTAGATTCTTTGTACCGGCGTGTGAGGAAAATGAGAAGGCAAGTGGAAGACATACCTTATACGATGGGATGCGACGAAATGCCCCTTCACCTCCCGCTTCAAAATGACACTGCCACCCGGTATGGTGGAAAATGATGGGTTCAAGGAAGGATGTCAGAGCTTGAAGTGGGCAAAGGAGTGGGGAAAGAGTGGAGGGGAATGGGGCAGAGGAATGGGAGAAGTGAAAGATGGGGAGGAGGTGGGAAAAATGAGGGATGGAGAAGAGGTGGGAGAAATGGCTTTATATAGCCACACTAGTCCACCTTCCAACACCTCAACACTTGTGACGTAATAAATACGGCACAAATTTCCCGATGGTCAACTCTCAATATTCGTGAGACATTAACCTAGCACAATTTCCACCAAGTCAAACACCATAACCATTAATATGGTGAAGAACACATTAATCATCTCATCTTCCTCCACTAACTTTGATAAACCTTTACCCCCTCCTACTAGTAACGGTGTCAATAATGATCTCCGCTCAAGATACCGAGCCTTCGCTCGTGATACCGATCCACGAATTGGCTCGGACCCCATCAGATAAGGAAAAGTGTCAATAAAACATGGACCCCCATTAAACCGTTGGCCTAACAAATGACAAAAGGATAGAATTGCCGATGGGAAATTTCGATAAAATTGAAATTCCCACCGGCAGGGGGGCAACTGGTGGACCCTAAGAAAATTTTATTTTATTGGACGGAAACAACCCCACCCCGAGGTCACTCCGGCCGCCTCGGGCTCACTCCGGTCACCGGGTCAAATACCTTGGGTCACCTTGGGGTCACTCCGGCCACCCCGGGGTCAAATACCTTGGGTCACCTTTGGGTCACTCCGGCCACCCCGGGGTCAAATACCTTGGGTCACCTTGGGGTCACTCCGGCCACCCCGTGGTCAAATACCTTGGGTCACCTTTGGGTCGCTCCGGCCACCCCGGGGCCAAATACCTTGGGTCACCTTTGGGTCACTTGGGTCACCTTGGGGTCACTCAGGCCACCCCGGAGTCAAATACCTTGGGTCACCTTTGGGTCACTCCGGTCACCTTGGGGTCACTCTGGCCACCGCGGGGTCAAATACCTTGGGTCACCTTGGGGTCACTCCGGCCACCCCGGGGTCAAATACCTGGGGTCACCTAGCCCACCCTGGGGCCACTCTGGTCACCCGGGTCAAATATCTTGGGTCACTTTGGGATCACTCCGACCACCCCGGGGTCAAATACCTTGGGTCACCTTGGGGTCACTCCGGCCACCCCGGGGTCAAATACCTTGGGTCACCTTGGGGTCACTCCGGCCACCCCGGGGTCAAATACCTAGGGTCACCTAGCCCACCCTGGGGTCACTCTGGTCACCCGAGTCAAATATCTTGGGTCACTTTGGGATCACTCCGACCACCCCGGGGTCAAATGTCTTGGGTCACCTTGGGGTCACTCAGGCCACCCCGGAGTCAAATACCTTGGGTCACCTTTGGGTCGCTCCGGCCACCCCGGGGTCAAATACCCTGGGTCACCTCGGCTACCTTGGGCTCTCCGCCCACCCCAGGTCACCTCAACCTTTAGCCACGTACCCCCGCAACGTGTCCACCGACCAAACCACCAAGCTCTCGAAGGAGACACGTACTCCCTTCATGTTCGCCTGGGAGCCTCTATAAAAGGCCACTTCGTCTCCAGATTGAGGTAAGCAAAAATTCCCCATGCCTAGACTCGTGAACTCGCGCTATGATTAGCGCAGATATTCATTCTCAACTCCATTCCCTCATCTTTCTTTTCGAGGTCATATTCCTCTCCACTCAACACCCTCACTAACTTGAGCGTCGGAGAGTGTCCCCGCCGAGATTGGCCGGCGGACCCTTTTTGCAGGAGACGACCGGAGCTAACATCACGAGTGAAGTTCGAGGTGAAAGGTGGCCGTCGACCGACTCCGGTGCCCAGCATAAAAAATTCGACGTCGGCTACAACCCCGGCATCAACAATAACCAAAAAGCAAGGATTATAAAATCGTACATTATTGACGGTCCGATCAAAAAAATCTTCTATCGAGTTTAAATTGGTATGCTGTTTTTAATAGTATGAAATGGTTGTTCTATCGAGTTAAACCATAGTTTTAGAACAAAAAATCATACCGCTAACTTTTTCAGTAACACCCAATTTCACCATGATTTCTTTTTCCCCTATACTCAACTATAATTGTGTATACAAGTACATTACGTAAAACTCATTATTAGCTACAATGTTCATCATCCACCAATTTGTATTACGTAAAGTTCTGTAAGATAAGATAACTTTTACATAATAGTTTAAGTGAATGCGATTCCTTACATAACTTGCTTGATTTTATCATTAGAGGATTTCATATGTAAAAGCTTATCAAGAGACAATTATTCCTTATATATTAATTGATAAGAACATATTAAATAAGTCTTCCGTAGCCATAAGTCAACTATATTTGCCTAATTCAAATAAAGTACATACAACTTATTATTAGCTACAATGTTCAACATATCATCAATTTACATAAAGCAAAAAGCGGTAAGGTAAGATAACTTTTACATAGTAGTTTAATCAAATGTGATACTTAAAATAACTTATCTAATTTTATCATTAGACCACATATTACAAATGTGATACTTAAAATAACGTTCTATAAAAATTATGTAAATTAAAAATTCGTACTTAAAAACTTATAGAGGGATAACCTTATGCATTAATTGAACATAACTTATCAAATAAGTCTTTCGTAGCCATAAGTTCCTTTTCCTCTATAGTCAACTATATTTACGAAATACAAATACATTAAGCAAAAGTTATAGAGTGACAATGTTTACCATCTCATTTGCATTATGCAGAAGTCATGTCAGATAATATAATTTTTACATAGTCGTTTAATCGAATGTGATACTTTAAATAAGTTGCATGATTTTATCATTAGACCACACATTACGAATAATTTACGTATCATCGTTATATAACACTTACGCAAATGAAAAATTCATTCATAAAGCTTATAGAGATATAATTATTCCGTATGTATCAGTTAAATATCATGTATTAAATAAATCTTTTGTAATGGCTAAGACACTACGTAAAACTTATGGAGGGATAATGATTTTTATGTATCAATTAAATAAATATAATACATAAATATTCCATAGTATAAGTTTGAATTAAATTCCTAAAATTTAACTAAACTATTAATCATCTCATTAATTTGCATTACACATAAATATTGGAAGGAAAATTAACTTTACATAACAATTTAATCATAGATTATTTTAACTTAAGGAAATATATTACCCAAACTATTTTTGAACTATTTAATTTCAACTAATTTATTAAATCAACTTATATAATTTAAAATAAAATTAGTTTCCCACAACAAGAAAGCACGGATCATAAAACTAGTTACAACTTACAACTCAAAAGGTTTAGCCTATTATTGTCAAAAAAAAAAAAAAAGTTTAGCCTATTTAAAAATATTGTTAGTCTATTTTTCTTTTTCCATCATTCCAAGAGTATCGGCCGCTCGTGCTCGTGCACACGCAATTTAACAAAATCATCACTATTATCAAAGTATCAACAGAGCTGAATCCAGAATGAATATCCCCGCCAAACGCACCAACTACTAGTACATAATCAATCAGCTCTTTTCGGCTTCTACCCAAAAGCATATCCCTTTGGTTTCCCACTTCGATCATCCTTCGCCTTCCAAGGTTCCGTTTCCCGTTTCTCTTCCTTCTCCCTTTCTTCTTCTTCTCCATCATCTATCTCTTTGATCGCTTGTTGCATTTGAATTTCAGCTTCAGTATCAATGGTTCTTTCTGCTGAATGTCTGGGTCTGTGTACTGTGTTTCCTATGCTTCTCAGAGTCTTGAGTTTGCGGGCTTTAATTACTGCCGGTTTGTTTGTTTCTCCGTGGGTCTAATTGTTATTATTAATTTATATTCTATTTCCCCTACTTACTTCCAGGTACTAGCTCAATTGGAGTTCAAACGGGAATTGGCATTCTCCAATCTGGGCTCCAAATTTTGAAGTGGGAACCGGTAAGATGGAAGCATTTGTGCAGTGAAGATTCCATTTGCCTCCCCATTTCCCCATTTGTGTTGTTGGGTAAAACGACAATTGTTGACTCCCAAGACGGGTTTTGGGTGTGTGTTAAGTGGAATTCGTGTAGGTTGGTCAGGCAACAGTTGGTGAGACTTTGGTTGATTAATGACCAGTTTTAAGGAGGACCCAGTTCTTGGAAGTAACGACATGATAATAAACAAGGAAGGTTCTGAAACTGGCAGTAGCAGCAGGTCCACTGTTGTGGAAAAGGCGAGAGAGGAAGGTCAAAGTGGGAGAGACATGGCACCTGCTGGGAATTCCATTCACCGTTCTGCTTCAAGGCCCCAGCTTGACCTTAGCAAGGCTGCAATTCAGGGCAATTTTGAGGAGAGGGATCCCACAATTCTGCTGCCTAACCAATCTGATGACATTTCGCACTTGGCTCTTGATATTGGAGGTTAGCCATTTCCCTTTCATTAACGCTTGTTGGGTTGTGACTCGGTACCTCTGCTTCTCTGCTTAGTCTTGTGTGGTTATTGATGCGTCCTCCCATATATTTTGTTCATGTTCCGTCCTGTTGCATTTAGGGGTCTTGACTCCATTATTAATCTATCCTGTTATCTGGTCTAGTAAGGAAAGAAAGCAGCTTATCAATTAAAATTTCAAGCAGGGACCTTCTTTTTCCCCAAAATTGTAAGTTGTTGAGATTGTTCTCGTCCTTCTCTATTGTAGCATAGATATTCTGTTCTGGTATGCTCTCCGGAACGTGTTGAGTCGTGCTGTACCTTTTAATTGGACATGAACATGTAACCTGCATATCTTTCTGCAAACTGCGACAAACTCTTCAATGCAATTAGAATCACTAAGTTATCTGCATGATTTATCTGCAGGATCTCTAATTAAACTTGTATATTTCTCAAGACATGAAGATCGATCAAATAATGATAAGAGAACAAAGACGCTCCAGGAAAAGCTAGGAATATCAAATGGTAGCAGGAGAAGCTTCCCTGTTCTTGGTGGAAGGTTGCACTTTGTGAAGTTTGAGACAACCAAGATTAATGAGTGCTTGGAATTCATCTCTTCCAAACAGCTCCATTGTGGTGGTATTTAAACTTGCAGTCGCTGCTTGCTTGTCCTCTTCAGTTGATTCCTAATAACCCTTCTTACTATCCTACGTTACTTATGTTCTTATTCCAGCCCTTTCATCTTCCCATAATTTCTCTGAACAGGAGTAGATGCATGTAATGGACTTCTTGGAGCTTCAGCCAACCAAAATGCTGTAATCAAGGTGCAATTTTGTGTTTATCTTTGTGTTTTGAACATAACCATAGAATTCCTTAAAGCTCTTGTGAATTTGTTTCTTAAGAACAACAATTACTTTTGTGTAGCATCCATAGAATCCAGTTTGGACAATACGTGATAAAGCAGTATAAACATACAGTAAAGTAGTATGCAGCTGAAGACTAACTTCCAACCTGTGTTGATTGGAAAAGTACTCAGCTGGTTCAAGTATTTCCTAGCCCGGAGATGTGAATTTCACGTAGATATTGTACAGCAATTGGCTACTCCCATTTTTCTAGTCAATTTCAGGCTTCCCGTCCTCATATATATCTGCTTCTGGAAGTATGGAATTTCCCCACAACATGGGTCTGATATTTCATGTTCCTAAAACGGATGAAGAAACTGTTTGTTATGCATGATTTTAACAATTACTACTTTGATTTGCCAACATTTTCTTGTGTTGCTTGTCCAGTTCTTGCATGCTTTTAGTAAGAAATGTTTTTTTTTTGTGTGTGAAGGCCACAGGTGGTGGGGCGTACAAGTTTGCTGATCTCTTTAAGGACAGACTTGGGGTTAGCCTTGACAAGGAAGATGAAATGGATTGCCTTGTTGCAGGAGCAAACTTTTTGCTTAAGGTGGAAATCTGATACTAATTTCACTACTTTTAATACCAATTCTTAAATACTAGGCTTGTAATCTAGTCATTTAGAGGTTCACCTCGGGAAACATAAAGTGCTTTGGGATTTCTGTATTATTGGTATTGTAGTATGCTTATCATTGGTCGGAGAAACTTGAACCAGCTTCACAGGAACATAATTAAATATAACACCCGAGTCTCAGCATTTGTTTTTCGCTCTGCTCTCAACTATTTTAGTTCAACCCTTCAGTGGAAATTTACAGGGACATAATATAGTTAGAGCATGTCATCATTCTTCTTTGGTTGTCTATCACTCTATTTGAAAAATCAATCCATTTGGCAATCTTGTAATTTCTGGAAGGTTGGTTTTCAAACTTCAGTATGGTTTCTTATGTCTCTGATCCCCACTTTGAGTAGGCTATTCGTCATGAAGCGTTCACCCACATGGAAGGTCAGAAAGAGTTTGTCCAGATGGATGACAATGATCTGTTTCCTTATCTTCTAGTAAACATTGGTTCTGGTGTTAGCATGATAAAGGTAACCTACTGTTTTCCTAACGAGCTTCTTGGCTTGAATGTTTCAGTAATTTGTTATTGAAGAGGGTCAGATAGTACCTTTTATACTTGCAGGTTGATGGAGATGGGAAGTTCCAGCGTGTTAGTGGGACCAATGTTGGTGGCGGTACATATTGGGGATTGGGGAAGCTGTTAACCAAATGCAAGAGGTTACTGACTCTCCTTTGGTCATTCCCAAGTTCTCTTACTACGCAAGTCGCTCTGTTCTGAATCGTACAGTTGCAGTTTTGATGAATTGCTGGAGCTGAGTCAAAGGGGTGACAATAGGACTATTGACATGCTTGTTGGTGACATTTATGGAGGCACGGATTATAATAAGGTACTACTTAGATATTGATGGTCTTGTGTTCTGTTTCTACGATCAGAGTGAATAACAAACTACTGTTTGGCTTTGATGCTTTAATTGTGGTATAATGCTCAAATTGTATCCTCGGAATAGACATTTTCTAAGGATTTCTTCTACCTGTTTCTTTCATATGGATATAAAAGTGTAGTACTGGACCATGTTGGCAGAGTCTATCATTCAAGAGCTTTCCTATATCTGGTCAAATAACATAATTTATGTATTGTTCTAATCTGTGCATTCCCTATAATCGCAGATTGGTCTGTCAGCATCAACTATCGCGTCTAGTTTTGGGAAGGCCATTTCTGAACAGAAGGAACTTGAAGACTACAGCCCTGAAGATATTTCTTTGTCCCTCTTACGAATGATTTCATACAATATCGGGCAGGTAAGAAAACTGATATCTATTTACTAGAAGGCATAATTCTGAGGCCGAATATAGTTTAAGATCATAAATGCAATGGTCCTCCTTACATTTTCAAACTTGGACATTTCCTTGTTTGTCAGATTATTGTTTCCTGAGTATATTATTACATTTGTCTGCCACTATCTACTCTTTCCTAATGCTTCAGCAGATATGCATGGTCATGCTGGCTCTGAGTTCGTTTCCTGCTTTGCAGATTTCATATTTGAATGCACTCCGTTTTGGACTTAAGAGAATCTTTTTTGGTGGTTTCTTCATAAGAGGTCATGCTTATACCATGGATACAATCTCTTTTGCTGTTCAGTTCTGGTGAGTATTTTGGAAGTTTTTGAGTGACACACTTTCTTGAGTTGAAGAGAGGCTAATAGCTCAATCTTGATCATCATTCTATTTACATTTTCCTTTTCCGAATAACCAGAATGATATTAGCAGTGTGATGCCTAACGTGTAGGTCTAAAGGGGAGATGCAAGCAATGTTTCTCCGGCATGAAGGGTTTCTAGGAGCCTTAGGTGCGTTTATGAGCTATGAGAAGCATGGTCTGGATGACTTGATGGTTCATCAGTTGGTTGAAAGATTCCCCATGGGAGCACCATACACCGGTGGAAAGATTCATGGCCCCCCACTGGGTGACTTGAATGAAAAGGTAAGTGAAATTATGGGTTACAGAACAAGAGATGTAGTGCTGCCTCATTAGTCTATGCATCTGGATCTAATTGCTGTGTTAGCTTTGGCAATATCATTGATTTAACATGCTGGTAAATCTGTCTGTGTCCAATGCTTCATCCATGTTTGTTGATGATATCATAAACTTCATACAGGAACATCGTATCCATCTCCTCAAATCACCATCATGGCTTCTTATATGGTCATTCTTTGTCTACCTGTGTGAATAGTGCGATCATGCTCGTTATAGGATAGAACGGGTAATGAGGAACAGACTTACTGTATAGGCTTTTAAGTGGGGATGGTGTTTCCATTTTTTCTATGTTCAAATATAAGTGCATAACATTTTGTCTAGCCCAGTCTGCTTTAGAATAGAGGTTGTTAGTGGAAATTTGTACCTTTGAGATGGTAACATCAATTCCTATTGGTAGACACATGCTTTCGGATTGTGCCCTGTTATTTAGCATATATATTTGGTGATAAGGCTCCCCCAGTAATGGTATCTTTCTGGCCCCAGAATGGCCAAAGAAAAAAGTGAAAATTTGTCATTCTTTCTGAATTATGCCATCTTTGATGAACTTGGTGTGAAAAACTATTGTCCTTGCTCAGGCAACAGAAGTGTGACTAGGCTTGTCGTATAAGCTAAATAAATTCCCTGTTATTCCTTGAAAGTCAATTTATTAGGGCTTCTAATTCATTCAATGTTTACCAAAATGCAGATTTCTTGGATGCAAAAGTTTGTGCTAAAGGGTACTGAGATAACTGCACCTGTGCCAATGGCTCCTCCAGGAACTACTGGCCTTGGTGGCTTTGAGGTTCCTTCCTCGAAAGGGGGTACACTACGATCTGATGCAAGTGCTCTAAATATCGGTGTTCTCCATCTCGTACCGACTTTGGAGGTGTTTCCGCTGTTAGCAGACCTGAAAACGTATGCAGAAGCCAACACTCTTGCTTAGAATCTCAAATCACTTCAAATGTTATTGGATAATTTTAGATCGGGTGCAGCTAAAGCTCACTTGACTTCTGTTATAGTTCCAAAATTTCTCCCATGAGTTTTTGACTGTTAATTGGCTAACTTCACTTCCACCCTTTGTGGTGATAAATATCCGAATGAACAAATCAAGTGGTAATTTCATAGCATTACGCAAAGGAAGTATCTATTGTTCTTTGTATCATTTCCTGACTGCTGAATTCCATGCCCACAGGTATGAGCCCAATACAATCGATCTTTCTGATCACAATGAATTGGAGTAAGTCATTTCTGGGACTCACAACCTATATACATCAATCTGTTACCGAAAAAATTTTCTATTGAAGTTTCTGTGTCTTTGTTTTGAAGTTTTATTGACTAAACTTACATGAATGTAGGTACTGGTTCACTGTCCTGTCCGACCATATGCCTGATCTTGTTGACAAGGTAATAAGGTCTTCTTGAAGTTATATGGATGATTTTTTTTATTAGTATAAATGCAAGAAGTAAAACTCTGTTCAGAATGAGGTTTGGTGTGGGTGATAGTCTTAGTTTCTTCTGTATCCTCAGTTTAATTTCATCATTTACAGAAAGTCTAGTTGAAAACCTTACCGTGATGGTAGAAAAAAAACCAGAATCCATTCCCCCGCCCCTCCAGCGAACAATTTATTAGCTAAGTTTGACTGGGTAAGGGGAGGATTAGTCATAAAAGTTCGAGTACTTGTGGGAGAGGTACAGTTGCTTGCCATCCTCACAGCATGATGGTATCCAAACCAGTACCCATCACACTTTCATATATTATTCTCAAATTACTAATTAGACTATGTTAAAAAATACCATCCTTAGTTTTCTCATTTTATGAGCTCAATGAAATATTCTAGGCAGTAGCAAGTGAAGGGGGGACTGACGATGCTAAAAGAAGAGGCGATGCTTTTGCTCGTGCATTTTCAGCTCACTTGGCGAGGTATATTCATACTACATATCAGGGTTGTGTAGTCACTATAAGACTTGAGTAATTTGGGATTCAAAATCAGAGTTTCATTGCCTTATCTCTAGACAATTTTTTTTACTTCCAGTTATCCTTTTGCGTTGCTAACCCATTCATTGCTCGTCATACATTCACCTTTCCAGAAGATCAGGTCTTCTCCCACCTTTATGGGGATTGTATTTCCAAATTAATAGAAAATTTTAAGCCAGTTTGAAATGTGGTTGCTTACCTTAATCTTGAGTTAAGATATGTAGATCTGAGTCTTCCAGGCTGTGTTATTCAGATCTTGCTATAGGTAGGTAGCACAGGCTTGGAGATAAAAGTGATATCCAACATTGCACATTTCTTACACAAGGTGCTTTCAAAAAGATATAAAAACGAGTCCATGGTTTCTACAGTGTTATTGAACAACATCATGCATTAGCTTGTTGGATATTGTAGTCTGCTATCCTAAATCTTTCAAGAGCAGTTGAGAGAAAAGCTTGTGAACAATGTCTTTCTCAATTCCATGAGTCAATTCCCAGCACTCTTTCTATTGATAAAACAGAAATTTTCTGGCACTCTTTTTAGGTTGATGGAGGAGCCCGCAGCATATGGGAAGCTAGGATTGGCCAATCTCTTGGAGCTCAGGGAAGAGTGTCTGAGAGAGTTCCATTTTGTTGATGTCTACAGAACTATTAAACAGAGGTTATTCATTTAATCTTGAACTATCCTTATATAATGAGTTCAATATGATGTTGCTCACTATGACAGTGAGCATTTTCACTTTCTTCTATTTTGGATTTTCTTATGCCATGTAACTTGTTTACATGCGTAAGATGTCTTTGAGCATGCAGTAGGATACTTGCATTCTGTTTAATACATAGTATTCAGATTGCATGAGATGGAGCTGAATTGAAGTTCCTTAGCTTGGTAAAGAATCTTTCTTCTTTCCTTCCTTGAAAAAAAAAAAAAAAAGCAAAAGCAGCAGTAGCAGCAGCAATGCTGTTTGAAGACTTTGACAATGATGGTCCAAATAGGCATGGAAACAGGGCATTAATTATATTTCGCTTTCGTAGCTTTGCTTCAGGATCAAAACAAAGTTGTTTGTATTGTTTGTCTAAGAATGATACTGAATGTCGCAGGGAAAATGAGGCATCACTTGCTGTGTTGCCTGACCTATTAATGGAGCTTGATAGTATGACAGAGGTACACGTGTAGTTCCAATGCTTGGTCATATTGCGTGAGTTGAAAACTTTCTGTTACCCAGGAAGTGTAGTAGCTTTGACAAGCTTACTCGACCCTTCTACTTTTTACAGGAAACAAGATTGCTTACCTTAATTGAGGGAGTTCTAGCTGCTAATATATTTGACTGGGGATCTCGTGCTTGTGTGGAACTCTATCATAAAGGGACAATAATTGAAATCTACAGAATGAGTCGCAATAAAATGCAAAGGCCTTGGCGGGTTAGTGAAGAAAATGGTTTTTTTTTTTGGTTACATTGCAGTTTCTTGCCAAATCTTAATGCTTTGGGCTTCGTCTCTTAGGTGGATGATTTTGATCTCTTCAAAGAGAGAATGTTGGGTTCTGGAGATAAGAAGCCTCTACCGCACAAGAGAGCTCTACTCTTTGTGGACAATTCAGGTGCTGACATTGTTCTAGGAATGCTTCCCTTGGCGAGGGAACTCCTTCGCCGTGGGACTGAGGTAAAATTTTCCCCATATATATTATTCAAAGCTCTCTGGGGGAAATGATTGTTGCTAGTTAATAACTGACACACACTACTTCGTTTGTTTAAATTGCTCAATCATGTACTATCTGATGTTTTGACCAAATTAAGATCAAATTGTGCACTTTGCTTCTTCGTGATTCTGTTCCTTCCCCACTGTTTGTTGCAATAACAAATAAAATCTGGAAATGACATCATTTGTAGGTTGTTTTGGTTGCGAACTCTCTTCCTGCTCTAAATGATGTAACTGCTATGGAGGTTCCTGAGATTGTTGCTGAAGCAGCTAAGGTTAACTATTTTATTTTTGTATTTTGTTTAGTTGTTCTGTAATCCGTATATGAAACAGGAGAAAGGGAACCAACTGATGTTTGCTACTGTTACAGCACTGTGACATTCTTAGAAGAGCTGCTGAAGCTGGAGGGCTACTTGTGGATGCAATGATCACCAACTCAGATGGTGCCAAAGAGAATTCGTCGTCAGTCCCGCTAATGGTTGTTGCGAATGGCTGCGGAAGTCCATGCATTGACTTGAGGCAGGTCAGCTCCGAGCTTGCTGCTGCTGCGATGGAGGCTGATCTGGTATGGTGTCCCAGTGCAAAGTTAAAGTATGTGAGAGAGATTATATTCATGATAGCCAGAGTCACTCAAACAGTATTAAACTTGCATTTTGCAGATTATCTTGGAAGGAATGGGTAGATCTCTTCACACCAACTTCAATGCTCGGTTCAAATGTGACGCTTTGAAGGTACTATTGAGTAACAGTCAACTTGGTGTTTTCATTTTCCATCTCCCAGTCTTCTGAGAATGTTTATTTTATCATTTTGCAGCTTGCAATGGTGAAGAACCAAAGGTTGGCAGAGAAACTGATTCAAGGAAACATATACGATTGTGTGTGCAGATATGAACCGGCAAGTTGAGAGCCTTTTACCGAGTTCTCTGCTGTCAACGGAAAAGTCCGCAACCTTTTTTTATCTTCATGATCACCAAGCAAATCTCAGTTGTATGATATGAAAATAAAACTAGCTTGCTAGAGGTTGACCATTGGTTTCTGTGTGGAATAAAGAGAGTACAGGAACTGCAACAAGCAAATCCCAGTTGTGTTTGTACATACTTGTACTATCAGAATGAAGCCAGCTTCTGCCATCAGTGATTGTGGTGTAAGCCACATTTTATTTTCGAAATCTAGTTATATGCATTTTGCTGCAAACCCAGTCTTCACACTAAAATATGGAAACCAGTATCTTTTCAAGAAATGTCCCCTGCTGCCCTTCAGCTAATCCCCCCAAACCCTTCCAATGTATCAAGTAGCAACAGGGGAAGTAGGAATTCAAGGCTGGTCTCTTAGAGATAAGCTACTTTATATAAATACAAATGAATCACCTGAACACAGAAGGGCGTTTGGTCTAGTGGTATGATTCTCGCTTTGGGTGCGAGAGGTCCCGAGTTCGATTCTCGGAACGCCCCTTTTTATGTAATAGCCTCATTGCCATACTTGACACCCGGCAGAATTGCTATTAATTTACACTTTGTAAGTTTTGTTTATCCATCGTCTGAAACTGCCAATAGAAACCAGATTTTCAATATAAGTGATGATGTTACCTTAAGAACACCTTTTAAATGTAAAGTAGAGATGTTAAACTTCAGTTGTTACGTAATCTTTTTACGTAATAGCCTCATTGCCATACTTAACACCCGGCAGAATTGATATTAATTTGCACTTTGTAAGTTCTGTTTTATCCATTCGTCTGAAACTGCCAATAGAAACCAGGTTTTCAATATAAGTGATGATGTTACCTTAAGAACACCTTTTAAATGTAAAGTAGAGATGTTAAACTTCAGTTGTTACGTAGTAGCCTCATTGCCATACTTGACACCCGGCAGAATTGCTATTAATGAACACTTTGTAAGTTTTGTTTTATCCATTCGTCTGAAACTGCCAATAGAAACCAGGTTTTCAATATAAGTGATGATGTTACTTTAAGAACACCTTTTAAATGTAAAGTAGAGATGTTAAACTTCAGTTGACATGTATCATCCAATAATGTATAATAGTTTTTTATTTAGTTTATAGTTATTTATAGTCATTTTATACAACCTCTCATATTAAAAAACACTTCTAATATGATCTTTTGTCGGAAAAAAAATACTTCTAATAGTTTTTCAGCAAATACTCAACTACTTTAAAAAAAAAATACTTCTCTAAAAGCTTCAACTATAAACTGCTTATGCAAAAGATACAACATGACCAAACTAGCCTATTGGTGGGCATCTCAAAATTAGAGGGGTTATCCACCGCAATTGTCAGCCCTACAAATATTAAATAACCAATAACTTTCGGGTTTTACAAAACAGTTGTCCTGATACACATAACTTTATAAATGAACTAAGTGATATCTCTAATCACAAAAAATTCATCAAGAATCAAACAATAAATTTAGAGTTTAAGTCGTGTATTGCAATTGATAAAATGATTAGTTTTATCGGATGTCCCCGACCGATTGATGAATCCAAGAAAAATGATAGGAGCTTGCTTAGATGTGAGTTGGACAGGATTATCCTGATGGAAGAAATCTCTTGGAGGCAGAAGGCTAGAGATTTTTGGTTCCAGGTTGGTGACAAAAATTCTGCTTATTTCCATCGAGTGGCAAACTATAACCAGAGGAAGAAATTGATTCAAGTGCTGAAAGTTGATGGGCAAGTGCTGGTGGATAAGGTGGATATCAAAAATGCTTTTATTACCCATTTTCAACAGCGGTTCACGGAACCTCTTGCCAACCGGCCTTTCCCCGTGGAATTCAAGAAGGATTTGTTCTCTCTGGATGATAACTTTCAGCTCACTTTACCTTTCTCGGAATTGGAAGTTTGGGATGCTGTGAATTCTTGTGGTAGCAACAAAGCCCCTGGCCCCGATGGTTTCACAATAGAGTTCTTCAAGAAAGCTTGGAGCATCGTTAAGAATGATTTGGTCAAGGCGGTTGACGAGTTTTACATTACGGGGTTCGTTCCTGATTCTGTTGGGCACTCCTTCTTGTGCCTTATTCCCAAGAAAGAATCTGCGGAAGGTCTTAATGATTTTCGTCCGATTAGCCTCGTTGGTAGTCTTCACAAGATTATTTCTAAGCTTTTGTTCAGAAGGCTTCGTCCCTTTATGAGCAAGGCCATCTCTCCTCAACAGTTTGCAGGGATTAAGGGAAGACAGATTCACGAGGCTGGTTTGATTGCTAACGAAGTGGTGGACAGCAGAAGGAGAAGTAGCAGACCGGGCCTAATTTTAAAACTCGATATTGAGAAGGCTTTTGATTCCGTGAGTTGGGGCTGTCTTCTTCGGATTCTTCAGAACATGGGCCTCCACCCTCGTTTTAGGAAGTGGATTCGGGGACTCGTGACCTCATCTAGACTTTCTGTGCTCGTCAATGGTGAAGCTGGGGGCTTCTTCGGGATGCAAAGAGGCTTAAAGCAGGGAGACTCTCTCTCTCCTTTCTACTTTAGTCTGGTAATGGATGTTCTGTCCTTTTTTCTGGACAAGGCTCACGAGGCTCACCTTTTTACTGGTTTTTGTATGGATGAGCAGAACAGCTTAGGTGAAGTGGGCCACTTGCTTTACGCTGATGATGCGATTATTTTCTGCGATGCGTCGGAGGAGGAGGTTTTTCATCTGACTGCTATTCTGCTTTGGTTTCAGAATATCACAGGGCTGAAGGTTAATTTTGCTAAAAGCAAGTTGTTCCCGGTTGGTGAGGTGGAGTATATGGATAGGTTTGCAGAAATCCTTGGTTGTGATTGGCAGTTCCTTCCAACGATTTATCTTGGGTTACCTCTCGGTGCTGCTCCGACCTCTTCGTCCATTTGGAATAATGTTTTGGGTAAAGTGAGTAGGAGATTGGAGGTGTGGATGGCTTCCTATCTCTCTTTGGCTGGTCGAATTACCTTGTGCAATGCGGTCCTGGAAAGTCAACCTGTTTATCTGTTTTGCTTGTTCAATGCTCCGCGATCTGTTGTTGACAGACTTGAGAAAATTCAGCGGGATTTCATTTGGTCGGGTCGTCAGGGTGAAAACAAACTCCACCTTGTTCCTTGGGACGTATGTAAGGCTCCTAAACGGTTTGGGGGTCTTGGGATTGCAGATCTGAGGATTCGTAATCAGTCCCTCCTGTGCAAATGGTGGTGGCGTTTTGCCCGTGAACGAGATGCGTGGTGGCGAGAGCTGATTTCGTTTAAATTCCCCAACGCTTCTTCGGATTGGATGTCGGGGGCCCGCTCAGGCCCTTGCGGTTCTAGTATCTGGGCTCAAATTTTAAAGACTAAAAAATTATTTTGGAAATTTGCTCATGTTGAAGCTGGTGCGGATTCGGGGGTATCTCTTTGGCAAGACGTGTGGATCAAAGGCAGGCTGCTTGAGGAGGAGTTTCCGCGTGTTTTTGCTGCTGCGGAGCTGCCCAACTGCCGGGTTTCCGAGGCTGCTAGTACTTCTGAGGGGAGAGTTGTGTGGGATATTCCTCTTAAATTTTCCTTGAGGGGGGGTGCTGAGCAGGAGAGAGTGTCTCTTCTTAACTTACTTAATGGTTTGCATGCTGATTCTTTCTTTTCAGGTCCCTCCAGGCTGGTTTGGGGTCCTTCTCCAACCGCGGGGTACTCTGCCCACTCTTTCTATTGCGAAGTCCTCAAGGAGCAGTTTCCTGGTTCTGCTTCTTTCCCCTTTCATGTCATTTGGATGGCGGTGGCTCCTCCGAAGGTCTGCGTTTTTCTGTGGATCGCATTCCGGAAAAAAATTCTTACACAGGAGGCTCTAAAGAGGAGGGGTTGGCTCCTTCCGAGCCGTTGTGCGCTGTGCAGAGAGCAGGAGGAAACCATTAATCATATTTTCCTCTCCTGTAGGTTCTCCAAAGATGTTTGGAGGATCCTCTCGGCTTTTGTTGATCTGCAGACCTCTAGCTCGGACATCGCTGACTTGATCTCCAAGTGGCCTTGCAGAAATCCGAGCAATGCTAAGGAGTGGTGCTCTGCCATTTTCCTCCATGCTTTCTGTTGGCGGATATGGCTCGAGCGCAATTCCAAAATTTTCAGGGAGGCCCATGAGATCGTTCAAGTTGTGGCTTATCGGATTGCTTCCTGCATCGCGGATTGGTTGAGGGCCACGCACAAGGTCGATCTGATGCAGGCGAATGCATGGCTGAGTGTGGTTAAGTCCCGCTTGTTCCCCAGAATCGATGTGCCCGTGACTCTTTCACTTGTTGCTTCCCCTGCGGATGACATTGGCGACTCTGCTTTTCCCGGATGATTTCCTGGCATTTGCTTGTGCCCTGTGCTCTTTTCCATGTCTTTCCTGCTGTTTTGGGGGCGCTGCTCTGCGGAGAGTTTTTGGGACTTTCTTGTCTTTCCTGCTGGTTTTTGGGATGTTTTGGTTTTGGGCTCGTTGACTTCTTGTCCTGGTTTCTGTTGTAATTTTTCCTTGCTCCTTGTTTTCTATTAATATATTTCACCATTATCAAAAAAAAAAAAAAATGATTAGTTTACAGCATGTGGGAATACAATAACTATCATCGAAAGGGGTATACAAAATTTCATTTTGAAATAAAAAAATTGGCATTCGATGGTCTAGTTATGATTGTAAATTGATTCTACGAGTATAAGAGAATGTCTTGTTTTGCAAGAAAACATTTCAATGTGAGAAGTGAAGGACCAAAAATCATTGACTAATAATCGCACCAAGGGTTGAGAATCATAAACATATAAGTAAAGTAAGTGACTAAATATCATTAACCAATGATTCAATCATCATTGACAAATCTTTAAATTTAACAATAAATAGTGTGTATGTACAAGGAAATCTATGGTATACCCTTAGTGAATTGGGTTACAACATACTCTTGGTACAATAATGTCTACCTAAAGCATGAATCAGGGGTATGGTACTATACCATGACTGAGTGAATAAATCATAAATATCATAATTCTCTAAACTTTTTTATATAGGTTTATCTTTTGTTTTTAGGTATTACTTACGGGATTCGAATATAAGACTTTCAGGTTCAATGATAGTAGTATTTCCTTTAGACCAAGCTCTTGTTCGTTGTTAATTCTCTAAACCTTAATTTGGTGCATATGGAAACGTTGGATATATATCAATGAATCAGAGTCATCAATTATTTTTCTTAATGCATTTTATTAGGGTTTAAGGTTATAGAATTATGACCTAAAATCTGTACATTTTAGTTTAGGGTCTAAGATTCAGAATTATGGTTTAAGGTTTGGAAATTAGGTTATAG